CCATATCCCTTACGCGCCACCTCCACCCTTCTGCCCCCTCCCTACACATTCCAGAAAGAAACAAACAAGCAAACGAACAAACACATTGTTCATTGTTTCAGGAAGCAACATCCCTGCACTCCGGACATGTCCATTGATTGATGCTCCGTTGCTCTCTCCAAAATAGAAATCCCCAGTTAAATAACCCACCCCCACCCCCATATCCTCACGGCACTTCGCCTCGCGGACAGAGAAAAGTAGCATAGTGGTTAGGCTACCGGACTCATAATCGTGTGATTGCGAGTTCGGGGGTTCGAGCCTCAGCTCGGTCCGACCTTGTGTCCTTGGGAAAGGCACTGTGCACGAACTTCCCACTTGGCTCGGTCCTATCGGAGACGGACGTTAAACTAGGAAGTCCCGCCCCTTAAATTATAACCTAACAGTGTTGATAGGGGCGTTAAACCCATACCATAGGACAGAGAAGCCGGTCCCTTGCACTATATCAGTCCCAGTGGTTTTATGCACCCCGCATAATTTCTGATTATTTTCCTTTATTATTCTTTGTTAAAAATTAATAGAATCGCAACAATTTCATATTTTTTGGGCTCAGTTTGCATAATTTCAGAATTTCTTTGCATAAAACCGAGGGGACAGCTGCTATATAACTGACCTGTCCATTACAGAGCACCAGTCTCATGCCATACTTCTCACAGTCCCGGGCCAGTGTCTTGAGCGACTGGACAGCCGTGTAGTCCAGGTCGGACATGTGCTCCATGTTCAGCACGATGTTCCGCGGCTTCTCCGCTGGTGGGGAGAAACAAACAAACAAACAAACAAATAATTATTTGAAAGTAGATCTAATACATCAATTCTTCGCCCCCCCCCCAAGGGCGATAAAATGAAGGTGGACGACAATTTAGTTTTAGTTAGGGTTTTACGGCACTTGCAATACAATAAGGTCATACATGTATAAGTGCCGAAGATTAGACGTGTTACAAGAGAGTAACAAACACAAAACAGAAGGAGAGGAGATAGACAAGATATATTTTTTATAGGAAAGAAGGAGCAAACCACACCAGAGCACCCACCCACCAACCATCCACATTCAAGTGGATGACTGCAATAGCATAATTTCTCACATGTGTTTTCACTAAGACTAATACTTAACTTTAAGGTGGAGTCGGTGGCCTAGTGGTTAGGCTACCAGACCCGTTGTCGTGAGATTGCGGGTTCGGGGGTTCGAGCGTCAGCTTCGTCCGGGGTTGTGACCTTGGGAGAGGCACTTTACACGGGATTCCTATTTAGCTCGGTCCTTTCGAAAATGGACTAACCTCTGAACTAACCTAATAGCGTTGATAGGCGCGTTAAAACTATACCATTTCATCATTTTTATTTTTCACATAACTTTAAAATCCAAAACATGTGGTTGCAACTACTACTCACAAAGCATCAGTGGCCAGGATTTTTAAAAATGAAAAGAAATTTTGAAAAAATAATGGATCGCAGCAAAGAATCATCCGTTTGTTAGTGTTTTAGCGTGCGTAATCTGCAGCTTGCACTGTATGCTTCCCGGGAAGCCCAGACTGTTTCTAAGTCGTGTTCTAGGGTCTGCTGGGGTAATGATAGTTGTGATAATGGACCATACTGTAGAGCTCGGATATACGCTAAGTGCAATAACTATTATATATTATTATGAGGTCATTCCAGAGGCGAGTTGTTTCGACCTTGCCGGTCAAGATGAGAATTAGTACCTTCCTGAGATTTCTCGATGGCTTTGATCTCTTAATGCTCGGTGTAAAGACACTAAAAGGCAGACCC